AAATTGGAAGTGAAATGTGACAACAGGCCCCGTAGGTGGGGTACATTGTAACATCTGAGGGGCACGTTGTAACAACCATATGACAGCTTAAAATCTTATCTGATCGAATGAAAAAAATATACAATACAAACTAAAATATTTTGTTAATAAATATATATATATATTTTATTTATTTATTTATTTATTTTTTCAAATAAAATAATGGCTTTTTTTAAGAATTAAAAATAATCTGATTTTGGACTTTGACAATGAACACATTGCAACCATGCTTGGTATCGGTCCCAAAAAACCCATATCGGTCGGGCTCTAGTGAATATATGTTAAAATGTAATTTATTCCTGTGATCAAAGCTGATTTGCTGCTCAAGAAACATTTCTTATTATTATCAATGTTGAAAACAGCTGTGATGATTAATATTGTTTCTTGAGCAGTCAGCATATCAGAATGATTTCTGAAGGATCGTGTGACACTGAAGACTGGAGTAATGATGCTGAAAATACAGCTCTGATCACAGCAATTAATTACATTTTAACAGATATTCATAATATATCGTGTAATAATATTTCACAATAATACTGTTTTTACTGTATATTTGATCAAATAAATGCAGCCTTGGAAAGCAGAAGAGACTTCTTCAAAAAACATTTTAAAAACTTAATGTTTCCAAACAACTTTGTGTATGTATATTTCATATGATATTTTCTATGACCTTTGCAATGTACAGTTTTGAACCAATGTAATGAACATAGTCAGGTAGGTTAGCATGAGACATGACCCAAATTAGAGCAGGGTTTCTTTTAGCTGTTTTTAAGCTTTAATGTGAGTCACTATTACCCTTACCTTTCTGCACAAAAGCTGGCATGCAGTTCCACTTCTGACACTGGAAATGTTCCTGTGCAAATTGGGCACTGGGACTCAAGTGCCTACACATTAAAGACAAGAATGTATGCAGGACAAAATCTGTAAAAAAAAAAAAAAGAATTGATAATTGACAATGTTCGGTTTAGCTTTTGCTTGTGTACCTCCTGAGGGTGATCGCAAAATTGGATGATGCTGCATGAGGTCTAAAGTTTTGCCTTGAAGATGTTGCCTCCTCTATCAACACCAAATCTCTTCTTCCTGCAAACAGAAATAAATGTGGAGTTCTACTGATAGAATTCTATGCTGTTGGGAGTCGTCACAAATAAAAACACCCCTTGGAAGTCAAGGGCATATTTAAATGTGTTAGTTAATTAAAAAGGTCTTCAAAGCAAAGTCTCTGCAAGGCTACAGTGGTACTTGGCTGACAAGTCCTGAATATCAATCGTTACTATTAAAGTAATACGTTTTGCAATTGTCAGTGGACAGGTCTTAAAGATAGTACAAAACAAACCTGTTATTAAAATGCACAATACAAGTCATGCAAGTCAGAATCGTTGTATTCTAGAAAGCTTTGAATGGCAAACTGTGGAGCGGCATGATTTTGAACAGCTGTTGGGTGCCGCGAATAGACTTGAGTGTGCACATACGGTTATAATTTATGAACCATAAGCAGCCAAATGGGCTAGCGATTTGATGTGCGTTACCTACCTGACTTCACTGGAGCTAATCTATAATCTCTGAAATATTGGCCTGACGCTGTTCTGTTGGGGACTCTGGCAGCTGGCTATACTGATGGCTAATCAAATCTATTCAGCGGTCTCACCAACTACAGACGGGCTTAACTTGCGTTACCTATTTAGATGGGAGAGCATAGTTAAGTTCACATTTCACTGAGTTTAAGACAGGGCCGTTTCTAGGCATAGGCGAGCTAGGCGGTCGCCTAGGGCGCCACCAGCTGAAGGGGCGCCAATTGTAAAATGTCTTTATTGCCACTTTTGATAAATTTAATGCATTATAGCTGAATAAAAGTATTAATTTATTTAAATACATATACTTATTGACCCACAAATTTTGAACAGTGGTGTAAGTGGTGAACAGTGGTTACTATTTGAGATCAAAGATCCGGACCCACTTTTGTCAAAGTACCTGAAAACCAGGCGCGGCTCATCTATATGGGCAAGTGGGGCAGAGCCCCACCAAAATATTCATCCACAACATAGACCTCTATATAAACTGAAACAATAATAAATTGTAAATGTGTTCAGCATTCGGCAACAAATATTTTTTTTGGATTTTCTAGACTACTTTAAGTCGTAAAGTAAGCAGTATATATTAAAATCCCGCGCATGGCTTTAGCAGGCATGTATGATACTAAGCGGGGCAGATGGTGCCTGAGACCTCCCGAGCTCAACAGCGCCCCACAATTTTGCAACGTAAATCTGTGGTGAAAAGGGGAACTGCAGCGCGCTCTAATTGAGAGCCATTGGGGCAGATTTGAGACTGCCCCGTTTATTTTCACGTTACCTTACGTGAACCTCCCTCCATGCATCAAGACGATATCAATCCGCTTCAGCTATGTGTCTGCATCAGGTCAGTAACTAGTTGGCATGTCTGGTTTGTTTTTTTTCTATGTGGAGTAGTGGATCAAATTAACAAAGTATACATCCTTTAGTTTAAATGTGCTCACATGCATAGCTTTTATATGGTTCTGTTGTGTTTGTTTTGTTTATTCTGAGAATAGACATATGATCGTCTTTCCTCACCCGAATTGCTCCACAACTTGTAACATTCTAAATCAACATTTGGAGGTGATAAATGCTATATTAAGGCAATTATAATACAGCATTTTATGTGTGTACTTCGAGCCTGTCAATCAACATTAACACGCCACCCATTGGATAATGCAAACAAGGACATTAGATCTCTGCCAAAATTTTGTCTGCATGTGTTCAGCGATTAGAATATAAAGCTTACAAAATGTTTTTCATATATTAGTGCTACGACCCAGAATCTGCCCCAGCTAAATCTACGGTCAGGAATCAGACGTTCAGCATTATGTGTGAAGAACCAGATCATCTACTGCACCAAAATCAGCAGCTCACTTTTAGAAATAATCAATCCCAGAATTCAGTGCGCTTGACTTTCATTTTCAGTCTCACGAAAGACACAGAAGTGATTTCTGCATTTTTTTAAGATTCTTTATTTGATCAAATGGACAAAAACATATC